GACGAGTTTAAGTTTTCTAGGGTGTCCAGTTATAGTGTTAAATCAAACGGCCCTATGGTTGTAGTCCTCTAAACATCCTATGTAAAAAGGAAACATGCTTGAAGTTATATAATATAAAGTGTGCAACGCAGGAACAAACAATAGAATGCACGTGGAACAGTAGTAGGCAAAAACCGGAGCAGTATAACATGCTATACGTGAAGAACAGTAGCAGGTAAAAACATGACAAATGTAACATGCTTTACAGTACGGTAGCAGGTAGAAACAGGTAAATTAAGTGATTTGTAAAATGTAAAGCAAACCTGTATGCCCGTGAGATCCGATGTTCCTTAAGCATAGCAAGCCTAAATGCGTCTCAAAAGCAAAGTCTGAAAGAAACGTCGTCCAGGAAACCCGAGGAAAAGCGGGAAAAACTCGAGAAAATCAACGAAAAAGACTCAAGTAAAAGAAGATCCTCAAAACTCCTGGGGAAATCCCAAAAGAAAGAAAAAGTAACACGAATGCCCTGTCCCAAAGCTTCGATAAAACAAAAAGAAAATTCGGATGAGGGGGACCGCAAGCACTCGTAAGGGACTAAGCTCAGCTGTATATTTATTCTCGAGGGTCCACGAAGGCTAATCGGTCACCCGAACGTATAGAACTCGCCACTCGTCTAGAAAGGTGTCTTGAACCTCACTTAGAGGGTTATTTCCCAGCCTAAACAAGTATTCGTCAGGTGGACAATCAACTTTAAAATGTATTTTAAAATTTATGTTTTTGACATACACACAAATTTTAAACATGCAAAGAAGAGTTATCAATTTTGTTTCGTAGAAAAGTATGTTTTTGTTTGAAAATGGTTTATCAAAATTTATCCTTTTTTTTTAAAAAAAAATTTTTTTTTTGTCCACGAGTCGATTACGCTATCAGGCATAGGACTACCAACAACCTGAGGAGGTTCGAGCCAACTCCCGCTAGACTCATGTCAGTGAAGGATACCATATCCTATTGTTCATCAAATACCTGGATCTTGATGTTATAGGATAGGGCATCTTTCTGCTCTATCTTCGGTGTGCCTTTATCATCAACACCGTACGCCCCAAAACGACTACTTGCGACCTTGCTTGAGTATGACAAAAGGCTATATGTGGACACTTAAGCACCGGGCATAAACATCGAAAAACCTGAACCAAGAAGCAAGGAAAGAAAAGAACAAAAATTGGGTGAGAGAGAGGAGACACCGATCCATCTAAAACACCGAAAAAGAGATTGGATCAGTTCTCAAAACTCGTATCGAAAAGACCTGGAAAAGTAGAGCCCAAGGTCTTTCCTGACAAACATAAATGGCCACTTCGCGCTAATTTTCCCAAACCTCAAAGACATAGGATTGATCAAGTCCAAGTGCTTTTCCAAAATGAGATTTAAAATCTCCCAAACTTCAAAAGAAATTGACCTCGGGGAAACCACCATCAATATTTCCAAACTTATGCCGAAATCAAAATTCTCCGACTTTCAAATTAGTAGATAACCTCATGCATTAAACAAGCACAAAATTTGCCCATAAAACCACATAAATGCTCACGGCCAGGGTCAGCAGAGAAGAGGAAACAACCAACAAGGCTCTCGGCCAAAGC